ATTTGTCACTGAAAAATGCTCAAAGATCTGACCGTCCACTTGAAGTTGATGGGACCCATATCAAGGCCATTATCGATTCAGATCGTCGTAGCACAAAGCGTGAGACTGCAAAGAAGCTCAATGTATCGCATACATGCATTGAAAAAAAAATTAAAACAGCTTGGATATGTCAAGAAACTCGATTTATGGCCCCCTCATCAGCTTAAGGAAATTCATTTGACGCAACGCATTAGCATCTGCGATTCGCTTCTGAAACGCAACGAAATTGATCCATTTCTGAAACGACTGATTACCGGCCACCAAAAGTGGATAGTTTATAACAACGTTAATCGGAAAAGATCGTGGGGGATGCAAGATGAACCAGCCCAGACGACACCAAAATCTGAGATTCGCCAAAAAAGGATTATGCTGTCAGTTTGGTGGGATTATAAAGGAATTCTGTACTTTGAACTTTTACCAAGAAACCAAACGATTAATTGAAACGTGTACGTTCAACGACTCGCCAAACTGAGCGATGCAGTTCAAGAAAAGCGGCCAGAATTGGCGAAACGTAAGTGTATTGTTTTCCAGTATGATAATGCAAAGCCCCACACATCTTTGTTCACTCGCCAAAAATTATTGGAACTAGGTTAGGATGTGTTGTCACATCCGCCATATAGCCCTGACCCTATGCCTTCAGATTACCATTTATTTCGTTTCATGCGGAACTCCTTAAATGGTAAAATTTTTAATGACACTGATGATGTAAAGTCACATTTAATTCAATGGTTTGCTGGCAAAAATCAGAAGTTTTATGAACATGGAATTATGACACTGCCTGAAAGATGGCAAAAGGTGATCGACAAAAACGGACAATACCTAATTGAATAAAGTTATATTTTTAAGCAAAAATGTTGAATTTTCCTTCTTATTTAAAATACGCAATCACTTACCATAGTTGCAATCTTTGCAATCTTTTAAATATTGCAAGGTTTATCCATCCGTGTTATAGGATGTTTTGTTGTACGTTATATCTGCAAAACAAAGATTTCTTTTTCACCGGAAGATGGTTAGCTGCTCTATGTATCACGTTGAAGACTGATTAATTAACGCGATAATGGAAGATATTACGCGCTGCCGTGAATTACGAAGCGGGAATATTGGTTGGCCGTGGCAGCGTTTGCCGCAAAGTCATCAAAGATTTACCACGAATCCGGCATCGGCCGTAAACTCCACCGCTGTTATTTCTTAGCTTACCGCTAGCCTGGCCGCAGCTACACCAGCGTGAATAACCTGCACGCTGAAATCGCTCGTTCGTTGTCGTTGCATCTAAACTATCTCTCAAATGAACGTAAATACGTCGAATATTGTTCCATATTTACGATCGTCCTCCGGTTCTTTAACCAGGTTAACGCATTCTATAGCGTACCAATATTATGTGATTTATCGTTCATACTCACAATTTGTCGTTACAGTGATCCACGTTCTCTATTCATTATCTATTGTGCTCGATAATGGTTAGAAAATGACGAAAATTAGCATAAAGAAAAGGTAGTATATATTATTATTGTGTATCGATGGATGATAAACATTCATGAAATATTATTCGATTAATTAATTTGTATTATATGGTAAACATCTTGCTATAGGCATTTGTAGAAAATGTCTTATAATATTAATTTAATACAATTAATTAATCTATGAAATTGTCTAATACTATTAACGCTTTGTGGTCATATTGAGTTGGATATGATAGCTGCGCTATTCGGAATTAATTTCTATTGATCGGACAGTATAACGTAATATAATATCGTAGTATCGTGGACAAAAGACCCAAGAGATATCGGCCGAACTATAAACAATGTCGCGAGAAAGCCAAAGTGCCAATAGGCCCTATATAAACAATGTATCGTCGGTCCTTCGATCGAATAGTTTCGTGGAAAAGGCCTACGTGACCCTGGCCACGAGCGGTTGCAGAACGCGAGCGTGGTGGGGTCGAGACAAAAACAAGGGGTTGCTAAGGACAAAGACGAATTAACAATCAGTGTGAGTTGAGAAGCCAGAGAGTGTAAATCGAGAAGTCAGGGAGATAGTGTTCCTAGCGTTGTCGAGAGAGTGTGGTTCGCGTGAGAGAGAGCGTTGGATCGGTGGTGACGAGAGTTGTAAATTAACTATCTAGTTGTCTTAATTATAATACGTTATTGTGATCGGTTCACGTTAAACAACCATCGTTTCCCGTTTAACCATCTGTTTAATCCATTTTGTTGTAAATAAACTAATTGTAGTAAAGATCCTACAATATAATATAATATAATATGATATAATATAATTTTGTATATAGTAACTAATTTGTAAAGTCTTATTTAGAATTCTATGTGTTTTCGAAGCGTGTTTACGTAGGTAGCAGGTAAAAGTAGACATACGACCAAAGCAGTAGAAACCTTTCAGTCACAAAGAATTTGTAAAAATTATCTCTGTAATAGAATTCTAGAATACTCAGTTTCTAAAAATCTACAAATTCATTGTTATTATTAGTTGACAGTATTTTGTGCAAAAGACACCGGAAATATATTTTACAATATTTTCTTTCTACTTGTATAATCAAAATATTAAACGGATGGAACAGGTTAGCAGTAAGACCAGGCAAAATGAACCGTGTTAACTGGTTTCGAACACACGGCTAGAAATTCTGAAATGCGTAACATTTATTGCGAAATATCGTGGTCGAGCGAGAGGGAAAATTTCGAGGAAAAAGACAAAACGAAAGCAATTTACGAATAATTACCTAATTGCTTTACAAGTTAATTGCCATAATGCAGAAGTAATAACAATGGCAGCAACGGTTGGCATTCGTTATTATATGCAGTCGCGTTATTGATGATTAATGTATTTGCGTTTTCAGTTATTAATTGTTAACCGTAATTAAGTTTGGTACGTATGGTAATCGGGCGAATGCGGTTTAACGCGTTGATGTGGTTACGAGGAAACGAGAATCGAAAAACGTAAACGGATTGAATTTGCAACAAGCGTGCATATATCGAGAACATTTGTGTTTTAATCGTTTTAAATATTCGCAAAATGTTCTACCTTTTGTTGAAACTATTCCTACAACGATTCGTATTAAAAGAAGTATCCTTTTCCTTTAGTTGTATTGTACATTTATTAAGAGAGATTTCTAACCTAGAATTCTAACTCAAATAGTTCTATTCTATAAATAGTTCAATAAGCGTAATTTTGTATATTTCAATTCTCTGCTCCAGGTGAAACGTTAGAGTTGCGAAAAGATAGCATACGTAGCCATTTTATTCTTAATCCTCAAAGTTTTAATTGGCAACTAAGTGATTGTTATTAAAATATAAATAAAAGTTATATTTTTATTATTATATGAAAAAAATAAATTTCTTCTGAAAATATTACAATTATATTATTTATAAATTTAGTTATTAAAATATAAATTAAAATTCATATTTTTATTATTATATGAAAAAAATAAATTTCATATGATAATATTATAATTATATTATTTACAAATTTAGTTATTAAAATATAAATTAAAATTCATATTTTTATTATTATATGAAAAAAATAAATTTCTTCTGATAATATTACAATTATATTATTTATAAATTTAGTTATTAAAATATAAATTAAAATTCATATTTTTATTATTATATGAAAAAAATAAATTTCTTCTGATAATATTACAATTATATTATTTATAAATTTAGTTATTAAAATATAAATTAAAATTCATATTTTTATTATTATATGAAAAAAATAAATTTCACATGATAATATTATAATTATATTATTTGTAAATTTAATTTTTAAATATATAGGAACAAATTTCCCGTGTGAAATTCAACTTTCGCTCCTGCTACCAAATCTATAGTATTTAATTATATATTTAAAAATATATAAACGATTCTTTCACGCAACACTGATAATTCGTTTATTTCATTCTTACAAAATATGTCATGTTAAATGGTAATTTAATTAATTTGCCAATTGTAAGAATTTTTATTACAATATTCTAATTGAAGGAACATTCAGCAAAGGAGTACCAAAAATTCAATATATCTAACCTGTACACTCTGCGTAAGATTCTTTCCGAAACCAATAAGTAGCTGACCAAGACCTTCGGCCCGTTACAATTCACGGATTTCTAAGAGTGCGGACCTTGAGAACCGCTACAGTTAAAATACAAGCTGTCAGAGAGCGCGAAGAAAAGGCACGGTGGAAAATGAGCGAGAGAAGGCGTAGTAGAAAGGCATGGAAGAAGGGGCCAAGAAGCAGGCGATTCACGTTGGCCAGGGAAGGGAACTTCGTAGACTTCTCAGTCAGAGAAGCTCCGCGAGCCACGGCACACCTGGTCATCGACGCGTGAACGCGAATGTTGCGCGTGTTCCGTGTGTTGCGTTCGTCAGTGACCGGTAAAACGGTGAACAATCGAAGCAAAATCGCGTTTTCGAGGTGCAGTTTCCCTATTAACACGTTGGCACGCGAATTTGATATATCTTTTTCCTACGATATACCGTAATATTTATAACCAAACTGTTGATTTTTATGCATTTGTAGAACAATTCGAAGATAGAAAAATGCATATAATAGAGAAAAATATATAAAACATTGGAAGTATAGTTCCTATTAGTAACATTTAACAAATTTTACGTAAATTTATATCTTGCAGAGTAGATAAATTAAAAGTTAGAATCTCGGTAGAAAATTCTTTTATCTGTCGAGTATTATAAAGAGCCCTATACTTCCGACATTCTATATATTTTATCATATCTTCCGCGTTCTATGTAATTTTCAACTTTTAAACTAACTAAAAATCTATTAATAAGTGAAACAATTCTCTATCTAGATTCCATTCTTTGTTTTTTAGTCATATTCGAAAAATTATGAACTTGCACGAATATCCTTAGTCTAATCATAACGTTTCGTTTCTGGGGAATATGCATGTCGCGTTTGCGCACTTTTTTACAGATAATCTAGGTTATTCGTGTTATTGGAAATTGTTTAGTCGATGACATTGATCTTATTTTAATCATCCTTAAGAATTTAAATTCGAATTCTACTTCTAATAAAACGTGGGTCAAAAGTGCTAACCGACACTTTCTTTAAGAATGCGAAAAGAGACACTCAGCTTGGATAGTGGTTCTGTTCGTTGCATTTACTATTTCCAAAGATTCGTGGAATTTCTCGTTTAGGGATTTTCCTACGCCGCGTGGCCGATGCAGCAAGATACTTTAAAGTGACTCTTGGTGCGAATAGCATTGCGAAGGATTTTAATCGCAAGAAGGAGAATTTGAATTTTGGTGTACAGAGTGGAAGTTTTAAGCTTTAGTAGAGTTTTGGTTTGTTTCAGAATTTCCGTGAGTTTATTGTCTAGAGATTTTCGTTTGGAACATGAACTTCGGCAAGATAGTATTTCCACATTATTCTTAGCGCGAATGTATGTCTGGCAAATTATTCAGTTTAGAAATTTGTTGTTTAGGGATTTTCGTCTGGTTGTATTTAAACCCATCCTATGTTTCGCTGGAATTGTAAACATTTCTCACGAATATGAATATCTTGAATTGAACGTATCTATTGTATTGGCAACTAAGTGATTGCACATTTTGTCATTAGTTGGTATTGACAAAATCCGCAATCACTTAGTTACCAACCAATAATAACTAGACCAAAATTAGTTCAATTTTACTTAGGTTTGTAAATATATCATTCAGCAACTTTGGATAGTGGAAGCGATATTAGCAATAATAGTTGTAGATGTGGATGAAATTTTCGAGTTTTTGATCGTCGGTATGAGCATTTGAATTTGATAAATGTGGTCGGTTATGGGTCACAAGAATATTACATTTCGGAATTGATTGCAGAGCAATTGTATCTTAATTCACGCAAATGTCTTATATATTCTCTTTTAATTAATCTAACAATCATAATGCTAAATTAATTAATTTGACATTAATAAAAAAATAAACAACAAATTTTAATTTAATTTAACAATCGATCTGTACAGTTTGCAGTCACTTCACATTACCTAACATCGGAATACTATTCTCCTTACAACCAGTCTGCCGACAACATACAGTGCACCCAGCGACTGCATTCCAATCTGCTCAGACCTTTAACAGTCCAAGAATATACAGCGTTGTTCAAATATTTCGCTCGCCTATTATTTTCAAAGGATTTTCGTTAGCAAGAAAACGACAGAGAAAAATGTGAGAAATATCAAGAATCGTCAGAATTAAACTTACGCATGCGAGTAGCATTGAAAAGTTTTACCACTTTAAGCCATAAAATGTACTGAGGATTATTGTATTGGCAGCTAAGTGATTGCAGATTTTGTGAATGCCATCTAATGACAAAATCCGCAATCACTTAGTTGCCAACCGAATATTAATGTAAAGTGTTCAAATTTAACAAAGTATTTGATAATTTAATTAAAATGAAGAAACAATTGAACGATTTTTAAGTTACAATCTTTTAGAAAAGGAATCTTTAAAATATTTCAATATTGAGTATTGATACAAAACTTTTGAGCAATAGTTTGGCTGATGGCAAAAGCTGATGGCTATTGTAATCTTATCGGGTTGGCAACTAAGTGGATTTTGTCAATGCCACCTAATGGCAACATCCGCAACCACTTAGTTGACAACTCAGTATGTTTAATGTGTTTCGTTTCTTAAATCCTAGTTTCCCGCGTGCCCTTCTAAGGCTTTGCGATTTCGCCAACTGTCGCTGCTGCATCCTTGACAGTAAATGTAAACCTAAGCTTGTAGTTGATAGGTCTTTGGGAAGATTGCAGTTTGCGGTGTAGCAGTTTCTGCTCGCGTCCTGCTTCAGGATCGTACTTGCATTTCATCTTGTTTTGTGTTTCGCAAACTAATATATGATACTGTTTGTTGAAGTTAGCCATCGCGAAATTTAGCTGGCTGTTCATACTCGATGGAAGATTCTCGTGGAAACGGGAACATATTGTTTCGCATTCGCTTCGCTCATACGTATCTCTTATCATGAAATCTCACTTCATCCTTGATCTTCCGTAAACTGTTTGCTTGTGAGAAAAATAATTATGATTTGTTACGACGATACGTTTTTATCCCAGCAATATTAATATTAATACTCTTGCATATATTGGCAACTAAGTGATTGCGGTATCATTAAGTGGTATTGACAAAATCCGTAATCGCATAGTTGCCAACTGTATTATATCATTTGGTGTATGAGTAGCAGACAAGTTACATAGATTGAAACGTAGAGAAAGATGATGATGTTACATGATGTGGCAATGAGTCATTTGTTTTTTTCGGTATTGAACATGAATAGTGTGCCAGGATAATGAAACCTGAAAGTATACAAAATTGAGCAGTTTGTTTTGTAAAACGATCGTAAGTAATAAATCATTGTTAATAAATTGTTTGCTATCAATACAACATACTATAGTAATAAAGCAAAATAACAGTAATAGTGAACGCGATAAAATTTAAACGTTATAAATATAGGGACATTTTAATTCATGTGTACATTCTAATTTAAACAACGATGACGAGGTCAGCAATAGGAAGTTGGCAGTCTAGTGAACATTGTTAATCAAATGTTGCAAAGAATGTCACAATGTCTATTTATTTATCGTCCATTCCTGCTCGTATTTTGTGTTACGATGTTAGTGTGTACATTTAGTCACGTGTTGAATTTTACGAGCAATGTGAAATAATATTATTGTTTATTGAAAAACAACTTTGCCTGTCAAGGTTTCTCGTTACGATGCTTACGAGTTGAATGTATATGAAACAGGAGAAATTCTACGATATATTATTCGATTAATGTTTCAGTATCAAATTACGCTCGACAATATATTGGTATGTATTAACAGCGATCGATAAGTGGCAGATAAAAAAATATTTCATTACTCGTTAAATTATTCGATCGTGAATTCCTCATTTGTTTTAATTGGTATTAAATTTCCTTCGAATTTTACAGCAAAGCTATCCACAAAGTATCGTAACGACTATCGATATGAAATATGGTTTATCGCTTTCCACGTACAATCGGCTTCTCTTGCAGAACGTTTTATATTTACGACCTTTGTTTATGACGATAAATCGTACATGGATAGTCATGAATTTTTGACAGCTTTGATAAGATGATCGCGATAAAAGTGTATCTATCGTTTCAGAAATAAATATGGAATTGGCTGAGAAATATTTGCGAATACAATTACGTGTCTGCTTTTGATTTATTCCACTGATATTATAGCAACGAAGAACGTCGTATTCGCTTGTTATCATAATACTTGATTTTCACAAGTTTATCAATTGATTAGGATCAATAAATAATTTCAAAATCAAACTTTAAAAAATTGTAAAAATAAAATAAATTCACACCTTAGAAACGATCAAAATATTGTCAGAAATCTATCGATTTGGTACAGGAGACCGTCAACAAACCTAACCTATTAGGTTGGCAACTAAGTGATTGTAGGTTTCTTCATTAGGTGTGGTATTGACGAAATCTGCAATTGCTTAGTTGCCAACCTAATAAATCATAAATTATAAACTTCTAGAATTATTAGAAAAGATTCCTCGAAATTTCCAGTCGATTTGACTACCAAATTCCAATTTTTAAATTATTAAGCAAATTCTCATAAATCTAAAATCATAATTCAACATGGAGGGTTACTGAAAAATTTAATCCAAACTTGAAGTGTCGCATGGAAAATTTGCAAAAATTTCTCGTGGATCCTTAGTGCATTCGTAATGAAGATCTGACAGAAATCTTGAATCGATTTGGTATCCAACATCGCTGTTTGATTTCGTTTAAAATTCTTCCGTGATCGTCATAAAAATCCGAAAACAGAGCAATCCTGTTCGCTGAAGCGGTGATCCGGAGGATCGATGGCTAGTGCACGTCGAGAGCAACTTATTGAAAACGGTTCGTCGCACCTGACGCCTCCGCCGTTACTGGCCAGGTTTCATCCTGGCGACCGCTTACTCCGGAAACGTAGCTCGTGGGACACAGTGGCCTCGTGTTTCATGGAGAAACGGAACATATTGCCGGGTCATCAATCCTGGCTGCACTGGAAATTTTATATCGTTCCACCGGGATGCTCTTACTTGACGTGTCCTGAGTAGTTTCTTATTTACTTCGTTCGCAATATTTCCTAAAATATTCTGTCTCGAAGATCGTCGTTGACTCTTGTTCGTTTAAAATCTTTCCAAAATGATTCTTCGGAATATCAATCGTTGAGCATTTCTCTCGGTGGTTTAGGATATTTCTACGATTATTCGAGACTTGGGACAGTGAGAAATGGGATGGAAATATTTCCAAGATGGCTCTCCAAAATGTAGATCATTGAGAATTTTCCTCGTTGGTTGGCAATATTTCTATCATATTATTTTTTGAGACATGGATCAATGGGAAATAAGAAGATATTTTCAAAATGATTCTTCAGAATGTAAATCATTGAGATCAAGATTTAAATCAGTGAAAATTGAGCAGATATTTTTCCCCATAAATCTAGAATATTTCTGCAATGTTTCTTTGCATTTGGACTAGAGAGTATTTTTAAAAAAATCCTTTTTACAGGAGCAATATAAAGAGATTTTATTATTCCATCTTGGTGGATGTGTGAATACAATGAAACTATGAAACGAGGATTTTCCACTCGACATAGTAGCCCAGTAGAGTAGATTGTCATGCAAGGATAATCAAATTTTACGATTATAGAGCTGAAAGAAGTAATATACCTTCAAATTGAGGATGAAAATCTGAACTCATAGGTCAACGTATCGCATAAAAGTGGTAGAAAGAACATTGCTAGGATCGTTAATTAAATATTCTGATCGTAAAAATAAATTATTTCAATTGTATTACAATCCTCTTTCTTCTCATTTTCCATCACATTTAGAATTTATTATTCATAACCAAACTATGTAATACCACAGTATATAGTTGAAACGAGCACCATGCACCACACATTAATTCTACTCAAATAACTCATGTAAAATTCTATTAAACCAATTCCTATTTTCTCCAAAAATAAACCAACTATTTTTCATTACTATTAAATCTACAATTCACTATCCATAACCAAATTGTGTAATGTTACGGTATAAATTGGATAAAACCAACACTGTGAGTCGCATACAAAATGTTCACACACATACTCATGTTCTCCAATTTTTCCCAAAATAATCCAACCATTTTCCAATTCCATCACAGTAATTACTAGTTATTACCTTTTTTTTATATTTATTTATATTACTATTAGTTACTAAATTAAATTAGTAATCGCTATCAAGCGCCATCTTTAACTCTTGCCTTGTACCTCCAAACAAGCTTTTTCCGCTAAACCTGTCAAAATTCTATTTTCTATTGGATTTTCTAAGTGATTGCGGGTTTTGTCAATACCACCTAATGACAAAATCCGCAATCACTTAGTTGCCAAGTACAGCGTTCGCGTTTTCTTCGTGTCTTCGTATTATGCAAACGTACGGAGGAACGTTGCAGCCAGACAAGTGTGGTTAATAATATGTCTGTTGATAATGGGAGACGTTAGTTTCCGTTCACTTAGCCGGCACGCTGGCCAACATTAAGGATTTTCAGTCGCGGACAAGCTCGATAGATTCGGTGTTTATTCGACAGGAAGTTGCCACGACTGCTCCTAACCTTGCGTAGTATGACTTGATTATGGATCAATGCCAATTGTGCTAGCAAAAGCAAAGAAATTCGGAAATGATTGTGTAGTGGTTGATTATACAGTGAAGTGGAAGTTGAAGTGGAATTGGTATTTGATTTGGAAAGTTGGATCATATTTCCAATCGAAGCTCGTTTTCAATTTTGCAGTTTCCTGTCTCATGTGAATTTGATAGTAATAATAGAAACGTGCTGATGAGATGTGTTTAATTAATTACCTTTTTTCATGGTTATTAAAGTCTTCATGATTCGTGATTATTAATTTCATTCTGATAATCCGTTCTGTTTCTATCATTTACGTAGCATCACGTGAAATTTGTTGAAATTAGATGTCTCGATACAAAACTCGAATTTCGTCTGTCAAATTGTGGCTACCAAAGTTTCCTATAAAATAAGGGGGAAAAATAGAAAAAAAAACCTTTGTTTAAAAAATTTCTATAATCAATTTACAATTTACAAGGTTTGAGTACAAGTTTAGGTACAATTTACATTCTACTAGAGTCTGTATTATGCACAAAATTCATCAGCTGTTGCCTTAACATTGGAGAAAAAGCAGAAACTTACAACTTGGAAAAAGTTGCAAAATGACTATGAGTTACAAGCTCAGCGAAATGCTTGTTTGTCGTGTATCAAACGTTGAAAAAACTAACAAATTATTACTTGGAATAAGTTGTAGAATAACATTCATCAGTTACGTATACTAAGTCGTTTATATGCAATACTTATCAATAGTGGCTTAAAACTTCGAAAAATCATTTCCTCGATAAGTTTTTCAAATAACGTACACGATATATCTAAATGAAAAATAGCTGTAATCAACAGGAACTTTTTATCTTCAATTTTTATTATTATCATTCCTTATTATACAACTGAATGTATTTTTATTAACAGAGCGAAGTTTCTAGAACAAACTAAAGCTAAAAAGTTAATTTTCAATGTTCAATCGGCCAATTTTAATATAACGAGACTTTCTTGTTATCTGATATCGTTGTTAACTAATTTCACTAATAATATTCATTTTATCGACTTCTGAATTTTATTTCAATGATATCAAATTTTTCTAATCGTATAAAAGTATTACCAAATGATACAAAATTTATTATAGTCGAATTCAATGAATTATATAATTACAATAATAAATACAGAAGTGCAGAAACAATTTTTCTAGCCACTCTAACTACACGGTGCTATTAAAATAATTGTACGTTCGTCATTGTGCACGATGAGCGTTCGTGGTCACGGAGGAAACATATGGAGACAGAAGTTATTCGAGGGGCGCAGCTGACTTGACTACAAATATCGTGGCTGGTGTTGCAGAAACTCGATATGAACGGTGCCGCTCGCCCTTGTGCCAATAAACTGTATTGCAGCTCGTATCTCGCCGCTAGAGCCATTAGCTTGTCGAATCCTAATGCCGATTGTGATTATTACGATCTGCCAATCGCCTATTTCAAATGCGACTCGCGATCTTTAACGTTTTACGTTTCCGGTCTCTGGTTATCTCGCTCAGAATCTTTCTCGGTTTGCGCATTTGTTCTACGATGGAGAACTTAGTGGAGTTAAATTTAAGTTCATCTATGAGACGTGAAATTTTTCAAAGATTTCCCTCTTTCAGAAAAGATATAGCAAGGTTATTGGTTTACAGAAGATTTCTAAAATTGGTGTCTACAGAGTATGAATTAATTTGTCACTGTCTATTAAATTGTTAATATTTTGCATGTGATCGTTTATTTATTTAGGATTTTTCAGTATCTGTCACCAGTGTTCCATAGTAACTCGTCTCACTTGCTTTCTCATCCCTGAAAACATTCATTTTATCTGAGGGCCTCAAAGCTCGTATCTTCCAACACTCAAATTAGCCATGTCACATTTAAGCCGTTGACTTTCACGGGAATTTTATATATTGGGTTGGCAACTTTGTCAATAGGTGGTATTGACGGAATCCGCAAACAGTTAGTTGCCAACCCAATATATATAAAATTCCCACTCCTGTACAGTCTGTTGTATTGGCAACTAGGTGATTGCGGATTTTGTCAATAAGTGGTATTGCCAACCCAATATTTTGTCGTAATGGGTTAAAATATACTACATGATAACATTTTATTTTTGCAAAATATTGTGTATATATATATTTGAGCGCTATTTCTCTGAGAGTGTTATCTGATTCACGCATATTGTAAAAAATTTAATTCATGCAATTTGTCTCGTTTTAAAGACACTCGCGGCCAAGAAATACCACTCGGTTTGCAATTTTTCTAATCACATCCTTCCTGGTCCGATCTTATCACTCATCCTTCCGTGCTATACTCTTTATGCTACTCTTAATCTGGTTACTGCACACTAATTGTCTACGTTACAAGCCGCTGCTACTCAAAGACTATTATATCCGCCAACGACCCTGTCGCTAATTGCCTGCTTGTTGCACCTTTTAATCTCTGGTATCTTCTCTTTTCTTTATCTTTTTAATCACATCTTCCTTAACGATTCCTTCACCAGTTCCGATCTTCTATCTCTTAAAATACTTCTCTACGCTTGTGTTTAGCCTGCCTACTCCTGTGCAGTCCGTTGTATTGGGTTGGCAACTAAGTGACTGCGGATTTTGCCAGTACCACCTAATGACAAAATCCGCAATCACTTAATTGCCAATACAATAGACTGTACAGGAGTACTGACTACTAGAAATGTAGAGCAACTGACGTTGTCAAAATTTAATCCATGAGGTTTATCTTGCTTGAATCATGTCAAAGGTCCTAGTAACGTGGGTCACTGAGCCATCGCGGCAGTGAACGTGTTAGAAAATCTTTCTCAAACGAATCTCAGTTAGTCAGATGAATTCACCTCGAAAACGTCGATCGGTGTTTCCGCTCGCTTTAGAATGATGCCGAGTGTTTACACGAGGTGAGCAACGGAAATGGCGAGGCTGTGCAAGTGAACATAAACGCGGTGTTTCGTGCTGCACCACATTTCTCACGCATCTGGCCAGAATCCCGTTTGGATTACGTCGTAGAAGGAGGTGGAACGCGCAGCAACCAAGAAAGGGGTTGGGCTGGTCTTTTCACAGGAAATTGTGGTTCTGTGAATGCCGTTTGGATTACTCAAGAGCGTCCAACCGATGCCTGATTTCGGGAATCAGCGCCAGGCAGCCCCGGATCCTCGCATCATCCTCGTTTGAGAACATCTCAGGCATGAAGGAGCGCGAGATGAAACTCTTTGGCTGCCGATGGTCCTTTTGGAATTTCGCGACTAATCTCGCAGGTTCGTCATCCGGATATTATTGAACAAACGAACGTCACTCAGCAGATACTATTCGTCTCTCTCTCTCTCTCTCTCTCTCTCTCTCTCTGTCTCTTATTTGCCCTCGCGCGTTTTCTTCCCTGATCATCTGATCATCGACTAATGCTGAAACAACGAGAAGACAGGGGAAATCGGATGAGAATTACGAAACCACTGCGGGACCCGCATTCTCAAGTCTCCGTAGAAACATTTTTATTGTCAGAACTTTCTAAATTTAACTTTGAAATGGCTAGTTTCTTGGTAAACGGAGCTATGGCTGTGTAAGATGTACAAGATATACTTGGAGGTGTATGGTGAATGGGAGGATGCTTTTGTAGAATAACAAGACCAAGTCGATGGAGATGACGCGGAGCTAATTGTCGATCGTTTGCCTGGTTTCAGTTTCAGATGATGTTTCGTAAATGCGCAGCGATTGGGAAATTCCGTGTTGCTCTTTCAGTGTTGAAGTTATCGTTACGTTATCGTTGATTCCCGCTCTTAGATGGAATTGTTTCATTTAAAAATAGCTGGTATTTCCATTGTACATAATATTGATCCTTCGTACTTGTGTCTTCTTTGTCTTTATTCTGCAATGAAGCATTTTCCTCCGTTTCACCTTTGTAGTATCAAATTGTGTATCGTCAGATGATGCGAAATTTAATGCACTTGCATCTAATTAATTAGTAGATACGTAAATGTTATAGTAAATATAATAGTGCACCTATAGCTGTAGCTACGATAGGTTTATTAAATCGAGAAATGTGGAACCTCTATCTCAGTGAACGTGAACCAGAATCCACGACGACTGATCATAGACCAATGCTGAAACAGCGAGAAGATAGTGGAAATCAGATGAAAATTACGAAACCACTGCGGGACCCGCATTCTCGAGTCTCCACAGAAACATTCTCATTGTCAGAACTCTTTAAATTTAAATCGCTCATGATCCTCGTAGATAGCAAATTACATAGCCGGTCATCTGGCTACCTTCTTTTACCAACGAGCAAAGATTTCGCCAAAATTGGACACGCGCCGTTCTACGTAGCAATCTGCTGATTGTAAATTCGACCGTGAAACGTCTTCACTGGGTGTTAGGAAACGTCGAATGGAGTTTTCGTATCGATATGGAAGGAATCGACGAACGAAACGAGGCCATTGTTGATTTGACCCAGTTTCCCCTAGAAATTTTCTAGCTTCTCATGGCGATTCGTCTGGGCTAGGGAGATTTTGGTAGAAATTGAAACGAAGAAATTACTATAATCTGAGATGTAACTGAGATGTAATCTGATATACGTGTCAGATTCAGAATGGATGTTGTGTTTAAAATTAATCGCCAGAGTAAGTGGTATTGCGCTCCTTTGACGACAGACCAAAAACTATTTGGTTGGCAACTCGAAAATTCTCGCTGGTGTAGATATCCAACTGTGAAGCGCAATAATAACCGTTTGCTGAATTATTTGAAGTGGTGAATTGCGGATCTCACTTTTTGCGATTTTTATAACATTCGGTTATCAGGTTTACGTATAGCATCTGTAGGTGCTATAGTTGCTTGTTTTTCGATTGCTCTGCGATGAAGTAACAGCCCGTCATGATTTGAAGGTTATCCGTACTATCAGTAATCATCAGCTGCTAAGTGAATTCATTGATCTTGCGACTATTGTGTACGAACGTTTGCTTCATCGTAGTTGGGCAACAACGTTACCGCAAATTGGCTCAGTTGCATCATTGTTCTTGATGATGGAACGTGCTTGTCATCTGTTTAGACGCACCTCATCGCTGCTAGTTATCCTGCTGCGATTTCCATCTCGATTTTCTTCGATTTCGCGCAAATTATTTCTATTTCTTGTGTATAGGTTATATTGGGTCTGTGTTATATTGGGTTGGCAACTAAGTGATTGTGGAATTTGTCAGTGCCATCTAATGACAAAATCAACAACCACTTAGTTACCAAACCAATATATCTTCTTCGGTTGATTACAGAAAGTATAGTATTTTGTGTGTAATTTGAGTGATATCGAAGGACGAGTAGCTTTTAAAGAATATGTTTCTTATATCATTTTCCTGAGTCTCTTCGAAGGTCGTTGATGTCTTTTCCTTGCGTGTTGCAGCTGACATTAAGATGCAAAATTATACAATCTCGAAATAATTTTCAAAAATAACAAAGAATCTTTTCTGGCGTATAATTTCATCGTAAAATTTTCGTTTATAATACACGCGCACAAACAATGGCAACACTGTAAATTTGGCTAATGCTTTGTACGAATTTCTGTATAAATATAACAACATTCTACGTGAATTTTAGATTAAGTATGAAATTAAAAGTACTTAGAATTGTTTACAATATCCCTTCAATGACGTTATATCTTTTTAACTATCCTTTTCCAACATATTGAAGTTCGGAAAAATCAAAGTCACCGACCAATTTGTGAAGTATTTGGTTGGCAAGTAAGTGATTGCGATTTTTGTCAATGCCACCTAGTGACAAAATCCGCAATCACTTAGTTGCCAACCCAATATTAGCAAAACTTGTCAAAGTCGAATGACACGACAATATTTGTCAACCCAAAGTTTCCTCGAGAGTTAACGTTTCTATTAGTATTAATAAATATAGTATTAAGAGTTAAACGTTATGGCGTAACATATTTTAATCTAATGCAGTTTTCAGGAAAGCTACTAAAAATTCACGTATTCACCTTCTCATGTTGAAATTTAATATCCCCGGAAGAGGGCGTCCTTTGTACACTGATCACGTGATCCTTCATTCTACTCGCATAATTTCCCTCTTTCCTTCTCGATCCTCTAATTTCCTCTAATCTGTTCCACTTTAACCCTGCACGCGTATCATCACCCAGCCAGATTCATTCAAAAGTTAAATGAACTCGTTTACAGAATTTTATCTTGACCGTGCGCGTTTCGGTAACATTTATCCCGAACATAACCAAATTTATTCCCTTTGTTTCCTTCTCTGGTCGGATGTGATTTCAAGCCAACAGCCAGTCGCGTTCTCCTTTCACTCTGCTTCTCCTCCCTTCTGTCTCTTTTATCTCATTTCTCCCTATCCTTTTCTCATTCCAACCGATCGTCTCGTCGTCAACGTGCCATTGATCGAGAGAGACCGAGGTAATATCCGTTTGAGGAATCAGCACGGAAGCTCCGCCAGTATCTCTGCTTCCGGTGCAGACGTTCGATCCCCTTTGATCGCGCATTCTTTTTGCCCCGCCGTCTGTTTATTTATTAACCGAACGGATGAAGGCTCTTTGCCTGGTGTCATATCTCCTTTCCAACTTCCTCTTTCGCATCCAAGCAAATAGGAAGCGAGAGAATGTGTTCTCGTGTGGTTGGAGGATGTGCTTCGGTGAAATGTTACTTTTGTAACGCGTGCGTGCGCGTTAGTAGACTGTGCTTGTGGTTAGGTTAGGTTGTTTCGATTGAATTTGAAATTGAAAAGTGATTTATGGTTTTTTCGCAGATGTTTGAAGGGAAAGAGTAGTACTGTGCCTGTTCACGTAGCGTTGTGTGTTTGTGAAATGTCTAGAGTTCATGGATTTTAGTTTTAGATCTTTGAAAGCTGTTTAACCTTTTACACTGCTATGTGGAGTGTGACTTGACATCAATTTTTATCTCAGCAGCTCCTTTGTCGAGTCCCACTCGATATTCTTTCATGTTCCACTTTTTTTGTGATTGTTTCAAAATATATCATAACTTAAAAACTAGAAAATACAACAATAGTGTGAATAAAATTGCTATTTAAGTGAATTTCTTTCTTCTTTTATCTATTTAAATTGTCTTACTCTTTAGTTAAAGTAGATTTCAAATAGAACACTTAAAAGCGTTAACAGCTGCTGGTAATGAAATAGAAATAAAATTCGCAGTGCAAAGGGTTAAAGGAAGAATATTGTAAAACCGTAAAATACGGTTTTTCAGGCAGTTCTATTACGCTTTCCAAGGAATTCTGTAAATACAACAAATTAAATTTAAAAGATACTGTTTGCCACGCTATTATCTTTCTCTGCTTTTCAATGTATGCGATTGATCGCTGTAGCTTCTCAACAGCTATCGTCTCAGTATATTATAGTTTTTTAATGTTGAGAAAAAATGTTGAAAAATTGTTTATTTAAAATGCTGGAACAGGTGACAAGAATACGTGGTAAGTATTTTAGTGGATCTGTAAAAGCGAAATAATAGTGAAATTAGGAGGGCTGGCATTTTTATTCGAACGTAAATACTAGCTAATTCACGAGAACAATTACGAACCTGTCCCTGGGTCAGTCGTAACCCACCACCCATTAACGTGGATAATTTCATTACTGCTGGCTGCACGATCTACAATTATGAGCCGGTCTTTTGCTTTCGTGCGCGATTCCATAGTCGTTGTTAAATACATTGGCGTAGTTCTCGTATTCTCTCTGGTGCGATTTAAATCGAAAAGAAATGAACAATTGCTATTGGCTAGTTATCAAGCATGTTACGCGGAATTATGTAACGTGTGAAACCTGTCAGAAAATGTAAATGTATATGTTTCTGTCTATAGTTATAATTAGCTGGCACAAGTGGCACAGATATGGATTTTACGCGTTTCGTAAAATTACGATATTACAAAATGTGAACGTAGAAAAGTACGTTGTTCGAGGTATGCATTTGTCGTTTTCATCGAACGTTCTCTTCTGCTGAATAATCGAATGATGTTAATGAAAAACGTTTATTAACGTAAAATGTAAATTGCAAGCTCGAAGGAAGCTCGCCCCTAGAATTGCACCGTGTTTCGTCGAATTGCAAACGTTTCGTTTCTCTGGTATATTTAAACAAATACTAGTGAAAATCCTAGTAATTAATCGTGCAATCTTTTTACCCATTTTAGAAATAAAAATTAAAGAATTTTTTAATTAATTAAAGAATTATTTAGATTAATTAATTATTTAAATTAAAGAATTATTTAAAGAAATAAAGAATTTCAGAGGAATGTTTCGATTTCAATTAGAATAT